TTTGAGGATCAAATTTGATATAATCAGCAAATAATGATATTTCTAAATTTTTCACAACTTCTGAAAAGTGTTTTCCTCCCAAATTTTTCAAGAAAACACTTTCCTAAAAATCAAGTTAAATTTTCCTTTGACTGGAAAGTATTTTTCATTTATTAACTTTCTAAACAACAAACAAACACAAGAAAGTTTGGATCCAAACAACAAACAAATACAAGAAAGTTTGGAAAGTGATTTTTCAGAAATTACTTTCTAGAAAACAAACATAAGAAAGTTTAGAAAATGTTTTTTTGAAAACCACTTTCTGGAAAATAAACACAACTAAAAAGGAAAATATTTTTCTGAAAATTAAGCGAAATTTTTCTTTAACTGAAAAGTATTTTTCATTGACTAGAAAGTGTTTTTCGTTGATTGGAAAGTGTTGATTGAAAAGTATTTTTTGTTGGCTAACTTTTCTAATAACAAATAAACACAAAAAAAGTTAAAAAATTATTTTTCAAAAATTATTATTTAAAAAACAAACACAACCTGTAATTAAAAAAACACCTCTTTCAGCTATCCGAAATGGCTAGTAAATTATTGTGGTTGATGACAGCTATGTGTTGCCATATTTTTACATGAAGCAAATGACGCGTTGTTTACTCAATATGTAACAAAGTGCTAGGCGTGAGAGCTTGGGTTTTTCTCTCCTAGAAAGTGCCAATTTTAATTGGGATAAATCTTTATTTAAATTAATGATTAAAATGTCAATTAAGAACTCATCTGATTATACCATACTTTTTAAATATGAGATAAGAGCTTTTATGATTATATTTGCAGTAAATGTTTTAATAATTTTATAGATGTCTGTTACACTATGAATTGTAAAGAAATTGAACGTGAATATTCTATTATAATTAAATATATATATATATATTGTTATTTTTCTATGGCTTTCATAAATTAATTATTATTTGATATTGTACATGGAACTACATAATTTTTATGAAGATATTTTTTTTAGTTTTTATTTTTAAAAAGAATTATGATAAGTTTTTGCTTAAAAAATACACTACTGATAAAAAAAATTATATGTTTTTATATAAAAAAATAATTACTAAATAAATGAGATTTTTGTCTTCAAAAATTAAGTATTTTTTTCTCATGAATATAAAAAAATATTTTTATTTTATGAATATTTATTTGAATTATCTTGGAATTTTATTAAGAAATGATGCTTTTAATTAAAAAAAAGAAATTTTTGTCAAATAAAAAAATGCATAAATGAGGAATCAAGAAATACATTTTCTTCTCTGGAAGTTAAAATTTCCATACTCTTTTGAATATTTATTTTAATTATTTTATAATTAATTAGAAATTAGCTTTAAAAATTCATGGGATCAATATACGGTTGTAAAATCTAGTCCTTGACTTTTGGCGAATGCAAAATTGTCCTTTTTTGTAAGCTTAACTCAAATGATGATTTCAATACTGTTTGGTATCATCGTTCGTTCATCGAGTATTAATTAAAATTAAACAAAATATATACTTGAATCTAAATGTAAATAATTAATTAGTTTAAAACCGATTATAGAAGAAATTTAATATTCTAGGTGAACCAAAATTAACTGCTTTGAGATTATTATTTTATTTAAAAAAATTATGATTTAAGAATTACGTACGAGCTTTCTTTCTTAATTAATTAGTTGCATGCAATTAACCGCATCGCCTTCAAGTTTCAATCAATTCATGGAATTAACCCTAATCCGCCATGCCAATGAACTTCTGGCATTCATGATTCCTCAAGCAATTTATACGAGCACACATGAACACAGGAGATGTACAACTATCACACTAATGGCATTCAAGTTTAAGGGCCACATACATATTCCACCTTCCATGAAAAAACAGGCAAAAAAGTAAATAAATCATTTACTAATAATCACCACGACGAGGAGATTAATTACATGAATCATCTCCCTCCAACCTAGCTCCGGGGTGCATTTGAACTCACGTGCATCATGCATGCATCCAACCATGCAATACATGTCCTCTCAAGGTACGATACTAGCGGCGTTGTAATGTGCGAGGTGAAATTGTGAAGAGTTTTTTCTCTTAAATTGTTATGATAAGTTAAAAACAATAGACTAATACATAAAATAAAGGAAAAAATGACCTAACAAGCCATTAATAATAAAAAAAAAAACATGATGGTTGGTGATATTGATCAAAAACAAAAACATGATGGTTGGTGATATTGATCAACCATAAGCCTAGTTATTGGGTCTAGTCTTTAAGAAATTCTTAATATTTTGACCAATTTAAAAGTGAAAAATATAATTAGGTTGTTCTCTTAAGAAAAAAACGAAGAAAGACTAGGAACTGCACCATGTTTTCTTCTTTGACCGAAATAATTAGTTCCTATTCGATATATATTACTATTGTTTTCATATTAATTTTGACAAAAACATATTTTTACTCCATTTTGTTTTTGTTTCAATTGCATGTTATTTTTTTTCCTTTTTTGTATATTATTATTGTTAAATTATCATAACGATATTTAAAAAAAAAAAAAAAAAACTCTGGGGTTGTATAACACATTTTACGCATTTAGGATGAGGTTTTTTTTAAAAAATAATAACATGTAAAGTAAGAATTAAGAAATAATAATTTAGTCCCTGTACTCTTAAAATTGTTTTGATTGAAATCTTATACTTGAAAATCCGAAGGGATAACGTGCCACGTCAACTTATAAACTAATGATATTATAACCATGTTTGTTTTTAGGTTTTAAAAATAGTTTTGAAAAAAATTAAAAAAAAATTATTTATTTTTTATTTTAAATTAATATCTTTTTATATTTTTAAATTATTTTGATGTATTGATATCAAAAATAATTTTTTAAAATATAAAAAATATATTTTTAAATAAAAATTCTTTAAAAAATAACTACAAATATATTCCTAAACCTGTGCTATAATAAAGAGACGGTAACAATACATGATGAATACAAAAAATAGTACAGAAGTTCAATAATTTTTCTTAAAAGAGTACAAGTATCAAATAATGGACAAAATTAAATTACTATAGATGGCGGGGGGTTGATTTGGGGTGCTGATGACGACATTATATTAATTTATAATGCCACTCCCCTCGTAGTGTATTTCATCTCTCCATAGAACTTGTAATGGCACTGTTACGGGAGTGACATCATGAACTATACTAAAAAAACATATTTTTATTCTATTTTGTTTTTATATTTTTCCAAAAAAACATATTTTTACTCTATTTTGTTTTTGTTTTAATTGCATGTTATTAGAGTAACGTGGATGTCTGAGTCAGCTTGCGCGCATCACAACTAATCCCACGGGTCCTGAAGTTAACGACCATGTAAGTCTCCAGTGACCATCATATAAGCAACCAAGGACTCGAACCATGATGGGTTCCCATATATGACACATTTTGCGCATTAGGATGAGTTTTTTTAAAATAAATAAATAAATAACATGGAAAGTAAGAATTAAGAAATAACAATTTAGTCCCTGTACTCTTAGAATTGTTTTGATTGAAATCTTACACTTTTTTTTTTCATATTGATAGAGTACTCTTTCTATTGAAGCCTCGTATGGCTCGTGCCGTGCATTCGAAAGGATAATGTGCCACGTCAGCTCACAAACTAATGACATCATCAAATAATGGAGAGACGGTAACAGAATAAAATGCATGATCAGGAGACTTGATTAATACAAAAAAGAGTACAAAACTTCAATAATTCTTCTGAGAAGAGTACAAGTATCAAATAATGGACAAAATGAAATTATTATAAATGTTGGGGTGCTGATGACGGCATTATATTAGTTCATCTCTCCATAGAACTCATAAGGGCACTAGTGTTGTGGGACTGACACATGAACTATAACCAAAATCAAAGGCTCAAGGACACTATAACCAAAATCAAACAAGCTATTAACAAACCACTCGGATGGATTTAGTTTCAAGATTAAAATTTGAAACCAAAATATTCAATTTAAAACCAAATTGCTAGCCCGTAGCTTCATCAACCTGCAAGTAGTGTTCGAGCTCATTCATGATGATAGTATTATTCGTCTTAAACAGACTTCTTAATTCAGCACTAGTATGCACACATGCCGCTTTCTAGAGTGTCAACTAGGCATGACAGAAGCAAACTCAACACGACGGAAAAACATATAGAGCAACAGCACCAAGCTCTAGCACCTAGCTAGCTAGAAGTGTTGCAACCCCAGGTTTTAAGATCATTATGGTTATACAGTGTGCTAAAAGTCTCTTGGATCAACAAATACATTCCCTATTACTTGCCCCATGACCGCGGGTTCCTCGCTGTCATCAGCGATGTCATTCACTTTCTTCAGGTACCAGAGGTCATTGATGAAAGACATGGAGGATTCTTGGGGCACATGCTCTATTAGAGGATCAGAGACCCCTAGTTCACTAATAATAACCCTGCAGTCCTTCACATTTTCAGCCAATCTTGATGCAAAGCTCCATATGGATTTCATGAGCTCTTGGAGCCCCTCTCCCTCTCCATAAAGCCCGAACAGAAAGAGGAATCCAAATGGTTTCTGTAGCGAGTGACATATTGGGAATTTAAGGCAAGGGAAAATCTTATCTCTTGCATGGCTTAAAGTTGCGTGAAAAAACTTAAACGGGTGGTGAGACTTTCTTATATGAAGCTTGTATGCCTCACAAGAATTCCATATGCTAAACATAGCCCAAGAACTTGGAGTTCTAGTGATGATGTCTTCATTCCTTTCAGTACTGTGCAAACTAAACCATTCCTCTTCTTTAAAATAAGATACCCATGTACCAACGCTCAGTTTTTCCTTCAAGATAGCATCAACGTCCGTCGGATATATGTCCTTGCTTTTGAACTTATTGTTGTACAGATAAATGGCCTGGTCTGTCTGCAGCTTCTCTATTTTTATGTCTTGGGACAGACCCTTTACAGGAAGACTAGCTGGTTGAACAAATATGACCAATGAGGTAAAGTTTATGTAATTGCACTTGGAAGTGAAGAGATTCGTAGAGGCCACATTGTTCTTTTCAGTTGCTAGGAAAGTATAGTGTGCCCCATTTCCTATCAGCCATTCTTCAACTGACTTGACAAGTTCCAGCCCGATCCCCATTCGTCTACATTAATTAGGTTGCACAAATGTACACGCTCATAAATTAGCATAATGCAAGCAAATTAACATATACTATTTATATGCTCAAGTACTTTTATGCATTTCTCAAACGTAATCTCATCTAGTTAGTATAAACATGATAACAAAACACAGGCAAGGAAGTATGACATTATGAGAGAAGAGAAGGACAGATTATTCTCAAAGTATCTTTATATTAACTAAGCAAACGGGTTATCAACTGGGACTATCCATTCAAAGCAGGAAAGACAGTAGAATTTCGTTTGATCAAATCTGCTCTTTTCACGTGATTAAGAACAAAAGGAAGCCTAAGTACGTAGCTGCTAAATTAAACCCGCCCACATATATATATGGTAACTCCCTTTCGCAAACTAACATCTTAGAACTTCCTATCTCCATGCATGAGGATGCTCACAAGTCACGAGCATGTGTTTGTGTTCTACATCTTGGCTTATAAAAAAATAAAAATTCTTCTTTGTTATTCAGGATTATTAATTACTTAAGCCTGCTAGTATTCCTTTAGCTTTCAATATTGATGGGATTATCTTTATCAAGATATTTGAACAAATTAATTAGAAGATGATAAACTATATATCATGATGGTTTATGACAAATAAGTTGTACGATGATATTTGCAACAAATTAGCTTTTTTCAACATGCTGAACATAAGTTCCCTTGTTCAGGAAATTAACATGAAAAAGACAGTCAGCTTGCAAATATACTCAAGTAATAGGGGGAGGGGAGAGAGAGATACCGATGTCTAGGAGAAACTCGAAGGCCTAGGATGCAGCCCAACCTTACATATGATGCTCCAAATCTAGTCCCCACACATTTGATGCATCCTTTAACTACACCGACAAGTTCCCCATTTTCACGCAGCTCGGCAACCTGTAGGCCATTTCAACCATATCAGTGGTCGACTAGCTAGTTAGCAATCACGAAAGCTAGCTACATGTGTCTTATGGGGGACAAGGGAGTTAATTTCCTTAATTGTAGAGAAAGGTAGAAGAAAGACAAATGATCAATATTTCACTATAGGTTAGCAAGATCGCAGTCCATATATATAATTTGATTTGGAGAAAGCTAGTAATGGAAAGAGAGAGTCCGTAGCTGTAGTTCACCCACCAGCATAACATGAACAGGATAGAACCTAATCCTAGATAGAGGGTCGCCCATCATGTTGGTGAAAATGGAGACTTCCTTATTAGATCCTATCTCGCACTTCCTCTCAAGCTTCCCCACCACTTTAATATCCCTGTCTTCATTGTATTCCCTTATTACAACCTTGTTCTCTATACTGCCACTCATGATCTTTGGCTAAAAAGAAAGCAAGTATAACTTGTTACTCGATCTCAAATGGGAAATAAAATTGTTTCAATGGTTTGAATCTTTCTTGAATAGGCTAGCTGCCACAACCTCCTCTTCAATTACTTTCTTATATAATGAAGAAGTCCTATTTGTTTCTTTATTTAACTTAACTTCTTCTTTCTCTTACATATATCTATGCCCTTTTGTTTGTTTCTAGCTGGCTCTGTCAATGTTACACCGTCCAATTTCACCATGACTGCGTACACTGTTGGTGTGATCGGGATGCCATAAATCCACCTATATGGTTTTTTTACTGGTTAGGTTAGTATTTACTCTTCATATTTAGGACGATAAGTAGTAAACTATCAATATGCATGTATGCTGTGTCACAAAAATGGAACAATAATGTTACCAAAATGATTCCCAGAATCTCTGAATCTTTGTAATCATTCTATGTTCTATTTACTTTTTCCGTGTCAGTTGAAATGAGGACATAAGATTTGTAGTCCTTCATAAAACAAACAGAAACACGGGCACAATTATATGGTGGCTGCTTAATTTCTAGACTGGTCCTCTTCATCCCATTAATCTATCCACACAAAAGGCACAATTAGTACTGCTATTAATTGTCATCAAACCAGCTCAGGGGCTTATTCATCCATTGATCTATTCACACATTCAAATATGATATGTATGAAGCTCAAAAGATAGACAGCAGATGTCTTTATGAAAAGAACTTCTGATATTTGAGTTTATGTTGTGTGGTACAAGGGAATAATTGCATTACCCTACACTTTATATATATATATATATATATA